GTATTGATCATGTATATTATCTGACTACAATTTGTCGTATTTGTGACTGCAATTTCAGAAGAACACATTTCACTTATGCAAACTGCATTATTATGCTTAGCAACCAAAGTTGTACATCCAGTCATAAAATTGTACATCCAGTTGAAGTTTGTAGCTTAAGACAATGGCATTGCATCACATGCAAACAACCATCTACACTTGGACAGCTGCAGCTCAGTGTAGGCATCCCTATACAAGACGTCTAGACTTTTGGCATGCATACTAGTGTTTATGCATTACGAAAGATGTTGCTATCCACAAAAGCAACTATACTACTACCATATTCCATGTTGCTATCAACAAAAGGCAACTATATCGCTTTCCTATTTCAGTCACAAAAGTCAGGTTGGCATGTCCACAGTTTCATGCAGCATTTTCAGACGTGGTCTTCTTTCCTTGAATTCCTCCAGTCTTCTTGCCCTTCTTCCATCTACCTTGACCAACTTCTTTGCTCTTGCCGGTAGTTGTTACTTTCTTCTTGTTCACTCTTGCCCCGCCTGCTTTAGTTGCAATAGTGATAACTACTAGTCTTGCAGTTGGCTGGTTGGACTGAATGAAGGTAGAGTCAGGCAAGGGTCCCAACTGCTGATTTAGGCTGCTGCATTGAGTGGGCTACAGGTGACAAGAAAAATGCAGATTGAGATTAGTAGAGTAAAATTGGTCATGCAAACGGCAGAGTAAAATTAAAATCACACAAACCTGAGAGAGCATCTATCAAAGCATTGTTTCCTGTGTCGTCTCTATCCTATTCCTAAGGCTGTACTCTATGATGGCCTTCCTCACAAGCTCAACTGTACCAAATACTTGCCCTACCCTGAATGATGGATTCAACAAATCTTCCTGCCGAAATTCCTCGAACCTGTTCCTATTGCTACCTTCATCAGAATCTGCCAAGTCAATATTTTCCTCTTCTGTTGATTCATCCTCATCTCCAACTGACATAGTCATAGATTGCTTCCTCTTGAGTTTGTTGCTCGTAGCCTTCTTCCATTTGAACATTTTACAACCCTTAGTTGTCCCTTCATCAAACACACTAGCATCGACATTGTTAGCAAACAGGTCATCATCAGAAAATCCAATCTCATAATCACTATCATTAAAGTCTGAGTCATCTGAATTACTATCATCTGCCTAAATGCCATCATGTACTGGATCTTGGTTCCACTCAGTGGCCTTCCTCAGGTTTGTGTAAAACACTAGCAATTTCTCCCCTTCGTTCCTTTCAGCTGTCACAGCCTTAACAGGACTAAAGACCTTGGGCAAACTACAGTCAGGATTTGCTACAATGTCAACCCAATTGATACCAGAACAAATCAGATCATGATGATCAAGATAAATGACCAGGTTCCTCACCCTATCAATCACAGACATCATGACCATTGTGTCACTATTAGTCTCTATAAGTCTCAAACCATTTGTTATTGTCTTTCCTGGCAATAACCAATGTACCTTCAGTGTACGTGATTCCTTATCTTAACTTAACTCTTCCACAAAGTTCTTCATCCATAGGGTTGACCAAGTATCAACATCACACTGATCAAACCAGTCAATTTTTCCATCGAGGTAAGCACGGTTCTTCCGAACACCAAGAAAAAAACCACCATGATGCACCTCTAGACTGAACTGGTTAGACCCTGGACCTATATTTCAATCAATTTTCAACATTCGGTTCAAAATTTTTCTCATCCGTACCAAGAACCCTAGAACACCGCCATTCATGCCTACAAATCAACTACTTTCAAATGAAAATGACCTAAATCTACCGTAATGTCCACAAATCCATAGCAAAAACTCAATAGAGGGTCCAGATCAAGATAGGGTTTCTTCAACTCACCGTATTCAGCCGCCGGCTCTCCTTTCTGACACAATCTGGCGGCCATCTCCCCAACGCCCACGCCTTTCTGACACAATCTAGTCGTCGAGTCATCCTCGCTCTCCACCCGCGCCGCCTCCGCGAACAGCACCAGTCACCGGCGTCGCCACCCTTCGCCCCTTCTCCCCTTCGTCAAGGTCTGAGAGTTATGGAAAGGAATGAGGTGGAGAAGGTGAAATCGTGCGGGGGCTTTTTGGCTAAAAAGCCAGCAGCTGCGGAGGGTCACATGTACACCGCCTGGATTGTTTAGGACCTAGATGGACCAAATTAAGTAGATTGAGGAGCCAAGAGTGCGATTTCATAGTTTGTGAACCCAGACGAAATCAGCCCAATACTTTAAGGACCGGCCGTGTAGTTTACTCTTGCTTTTTATTATTACTATCTGAACACTCTCCACGTGACACCATCATGTGACATCCGATGTGACGCCTCCAATCTTTAGCCCTTGGATTTAAACACCCACATAGCCGTGCAGCAATTAATCTTCCAGAATTGCTCCGGTACTTTTTTTTAGAAATTATACGCATCTCAAAGAATATATCTAAGAATTAACTTTTTTTAGCAACTTCTAAGAATTAACTAAACATCTTCTTCATTCTAGTCCATCTGGATCCCATATGGGCCTAACCCTTCCAAGCCCAGTCCAAATTCAATCCATTTGTTTTTATCGTCCGGATCCCCTTTGTTCGGAGTCGGACTAGCCAGTAGCCACGGAGACCCATCCTGGATGCGCATCATTTGCGTCGCTGCATCATGTCGTCGTCCTCACCGCAACGGCGCAGCCGCATTCGAACTCGCAGGAGTTGGCCCCGAAGTCATCCTCGCAGCCCTCTGAACGCCTTCCTGCGGTGCGGTGATCCGACCACGGGCGTAGTCAACTAGGCATCACACGACGTATATACGTATACTGCATATGCAGAGAGCAGGATCGGAGACACACAAGGAGCCATATGGGGATGTGACTTGACGGGCCTCTCCAGCTCTCCTCAGTCGAGGACGCAAGCGTGGGCGTCTGTCAACGGCGGCCAGCGATGGAGCGGCCCGCACCTCCGTTCTAACTACAGGGCTGCCGTGGTGTTTTAGCTTGATGAACAGCTTTGTCGGTGAAGCTGAACTTTTTTCGTGACTCCGTTTGGCAAAACAGCTTCACACGGAAGACAAAAAGAATAAAATTACTATAATACCCCTTCTTATCTTTTACTTCTCTTTTTTTCCTCGTCTTCTTCGTAGGTGTCTTCTTCGTTCTTCCTGCAAGCCTTTCTTCCAGACGGCGCCTCTCTCGGTGGCCCTCCAGGCGGCTCGTGCCCCTCTCGGCGGCCATCTCCCCCTGCAGCGGCTCGCCACCCATCGGCCCTCCAGGGCCCCACGGCGGCGCTCCTCCCGGCGGCCAGCAGCAGCGCCCCTCAGGGCATAGCCCCTCACGGCGGCAGGCATAGCCAACGGCGGCGCCCCGGACACCTTTTTTTTCTAACTCCAGCGGCGGCACCCTTGACGCATGCCTGCATCACCGCATGCCCGGCGGCTGCGTCTCACACCCCGGTGGCCTGCCCTTCGGGTTCCGGCCATGGCCGCGTGCGCCTCACGGCTGCGCACTACATGCTGACGTCACTGAGAGAGGGCAAATGCAGCCTTTTAGGAAATTGGGGCCCACTTGTATCAGATGAAGCTGGGATAAGCAACTTTTTTTCATCTCTCTCACATCCTATGCCTCTGTAAGAGGAGAAAACAATAGCTTCACTCGTGAAGCTGTTTTGAAAAAGGATGTTGGGCAAAAAGATAGCTCACAATAGCTTATAAAGTTGTTGGTGAAGCTGTACCAAACAGGCCCTTAATCTTCATCTTCAGCGAATGTAGTCGATATTTGGCGACTTGATATGGCTCATCTTGTCGTACTGCCCCGTTCGACTTACCTTATAATCCGGCTTATTCGGCTTCTTTTTCAGCTGGAACAGTGTTTTTGTCTCACAATAATTCAGCCGGAACAATGTTTTTCTCTCACAGCTGCTGCCTATTAACAAAGACTCATACAAAAAATCCACTAAGGTCTTGTTCGGATGATGTCAGATTCACCTCCATTCATATGTGTTGGTGTGAATTGGGGTAGAATTTAGTTCCAAGTTACACTCCAATCCACCTCAACACATGTGAACTGATGCGCATCCGACTATGTCCAAACAAGGCCTAAATGTAGTTGTCATCAGAAAAAGTATATGTTGGCTTTACACGAATGGGCTGGGAAGAACAAGATCATTATGTACATGCTACTTTTTTCTTTTTCACAAAGATTATGTACATGCTACTTGACGGATATCTTCCTCTACAAGTGGAATTGTGAATTGGTCTGTCAGGCAATACAGGGTGGCTTTTATTTTTTTTGGTCATTTTGCTTCACAAGTTTTTTTTAGACGATTTTGCTTCACAATGTTAGAACGACCGATTTAAGACCAAAAGAATGACGGACAAATAGTGTCGATTTGACCACCAAAGCCACCATGCTTGGTTCATCTGTTATCCACAACTCACAAGGAAGGCTCGTTCTGGACATTTGCCCCGTCTCCGTCAGAAAGCAGAGCACATCATAATCACCATTATGGTGCTCCCATGTCTGCTGCCTGTTTATTACGAATCCTGCACCTCAGGTCCATTACTTGTACAAATATACATAGGTCCATTACTTCAATAAAAAACATACATAGTAGATGAAATATAGAGGCCCAAGTAATACAAGAGCGCCTCCGGTTACAATGATTCCTCAGTATGTCGTTCGTAGGCCTCTGTACACAGTCTGGGTGTGACCACTGACCACACCCAGCGGCAGCATCAAGCAGAGGAATTGAGCAAAACAGAGTACTGGCCGCTGCAAGCTAGCAGGATGCGGCTCCGCCATAAGGATCCCTGCATATATATTAGTTACATACAGGATCAATGGATAATGATACTTCAAAATTGAGTGCGTATTAAGCGGTACTACTACGTAGTAAGTACTACGACTGCACATGTAGGTGCGGTGCACTGCACTGTGAAACACTTGTTACCTTAAAATATAGTACGTGATTTATTTCTGGTATGGTCGTGCAACAATTAGTCTTCATCTTCTGCGAAGGTAGTCGATAGTGCGTGACTTGATATGGCTGATCTTGTCGTACTCAGATGAGCTTCCTGTTAACAAGGACTCATACAACTCCTTGCTGCAAGTCAATTTGAGATATCTTGGTCTTACTGTTGTCACATACTCCGGAACTGTCTCCATGGTGACGTCCCTCATCTCCATGCTGTCGAGTGACGGGACTCCTAGCACCTCCAGATTTCGGCAGTGTAAGATAATGATTTTCTGCAACTTGGAGAGATTGCTGATCCTTCTCAGCTCCGGGCAGTCGAATACTTGAAGTTCCACAACTGAAGGGAAGTTCTCTATATATGTCAGGTTTCTCAGCTTGTACAGGCGCACTTCTCTTAGAGCATGCCTCCTGCTACTGGCGAGCCCTGGTGGAAGACAGCTCAGCTTGCAGTTAATAATTACGAGACCCTTGAGTGCAGGCATTGCCATGGCATCTACTGTTGCATCCTCACCCTGCTCCTCCCATTCCCACTCCTCCCATTCGCACAAGCCAGCCAGACGAAGAGTTGCCAGGTTAGGAAAACCTACTACTGATCCAGTAGTGACAATACCTCCACCAACTGCCAGGGAGGAGGGTGACTGGAACTCAGGCCCAACACTCTTGATGGCAGGTGCGTCATTAACGTCTAGCGACTCCAAACTAGGGAGCTGGCACAGACCGTCAGGGAGTTGGGTGCAACAACAAAGTTTGTCCATCCTTAAAAACCTCAGGCTCTTAAAGACCCATGTAGCTGGATCCATCATCCAATTTGGCAGCCGGCTACCAAAGTATCCTTCCATGTGTAGATGCCGTATGCTGGATGGAGGGCTGAGCACCTCAATTACCTCCTCCACTACTCTCTGCTGCTGCTGCTTGTTGATTTCATCCCTCAGTTCCATGAATCCGCTGCTACTCCACTCTAGTACAAAGTAATCAAGGTGCTCCTTGCTACTAACCATGGCCATTCCAGCCGACGAGCTAGCAGGCACATTTTCTAGACCTAGTAAAGAAAGCTTCCTAAGCTGGGACAGAGGCCCTATCTCTTCCAAGCTGCACCAGCCCGTGCCCCCATTCTTGTCCAAATGTACTCGGAACCCCAAAAGTGTTCTTAGATTTTTCAACTGACCAAACCCCTTGGGTATTAAAACATTGTCATGGAAACCATATATGCTAAGAGTTCTTAGATGCAGAAGCTGTGTAATGCAGCTAGGAAGATGGTCTAGCTGTGGACATCTATCAACCATAATGTGCTGCAAGAACTTCATCCTATGAATGTCTCCAGGTAGCCTAGATATATTTGTATCCTGGAAGTGGAGGTATCTCAGGTGCCTCAGAAGACATAGAGAGTCAACCAAACTATCACAATCAGTACCCCTTATAAAAAGCACTCTTAGGGTAGACAATCTCCCAAATGAGTCACTAGGCTGAACATTAATTCTTTTATTTATAATTAATGTTCTTACTGATTTATGCTTCTGTAGAATATCCCATTCTAGTGCTGACTTGGTTGATCCTATAGACAAGTGACGTACATGGCTGATCTTGGTACCACCATCATCTTGCTGGTCCTGGACCACCAATGATTCTTCTTTAGACATAAACTCTGCAAAAGATCGCACCACGTCATGCATTGTGCATGAGTATCGAGTGACAGCTGATTCTGGTTCAATAAGATTCCTCGTGATTAGCTCCTGGTAATACCCATCTGCTATTTCTTCTAGCCAATCATCATATGAACTCCTGCTTCTGTCTGGTGGATGGATAAATCCCTCACTAATCCACATCGGAACAACATTACGTTGCCAAATAGTTGTACCTTTAGGGAAAAGTGAGCAGTATAGGAAGCACTGCTTCAGCTGGGGAGACAAATCCTCATAGCTCAAGTAGATCGCGTTGTCCAGTTCCTTAGGCAATCCAGCTACTGACCATGCATGATGCTTGAAAACAGCCTCCCAATCACCCTCGCTTCGGGGCTTCGTACTTAGCAGTCCTCCCATCACTTTGATAGCAAGTGGTAAACCTCCACACTTACGGATAATTTTCATCCCAACAACTTTCAGGTGATCTGTTCCATGTACCTACCAGCACAAACAACCATTTCCACTCATAAAACATATTTACAATATTTAATTTGTAAAATAATGGTAAGCAGTTAGCCGATTTGTTATACTATATAATCTTTTGTATATGCTGCCCCGCCTGCGCGGACGGAAGAAGCTAAAATGATAAATACTCCCTGTCACAAAAAGAGCAATTATGGGATTCGCGCTAGCCAAAATAGCTCCAGTGACAAAATTTTAAAAAATAATATTAGCATTTATGTCTCCCTACAAATTTGCTATGAAAATATATTCTGTAATAATTTAATGGCACTTACTTTGTATCATAAATGTTAGTAGTTTCTTATATAATTTTGGTCAAAATTTAAATTACTTGGCTTCTTGGGAAGTGAGAATTGCATTATTTATGGATCAGAGGGAGTAGAAAGGTTCAGTTTGGAATTTGTGGGCCCACCTCACATTGGGAGCTGTCCATGGCAGTTCTGCCCAATGCATTGGCCGATTTGTTGATGGATGCTAAATTTTTTGTTTCCATTCAGTTAGCTACCTAAATTTGCCTACATCGCACATTTAGGTTGACAAATCGATGACAAATATTTTTGTGCAACTTTTCACAACTGAATATTTGGATGGAAAATTTCGAGAGCCAATCAAGCATGCCTTAAATATGCATAAATTGCCAAAATAAAATTATGATTCAGTGGCCAATCTTACATGTAGATGGGAGAGATGAGTAATTTATTGGAGACTTATAAGTGACCTTAGATTATGTTTAATACTAAAAAAAATAATATTGATGTAAATTTAGAGGTACATTTATTACCTTTTTATTGTCGTACAAGTCGATAATTTAGATGCAGATGTTTATGTTACCTAGATTATTTTTACTAATGAAAAATATGGGTAATTTAGATGCATATTTAGGTGTTATTTTTGTTATTTTCATGATGATAGAGATGGATAATTTTGATGCATATTAGGGGTTTTCTTTAGGTTATTACTAGCAATCATACTTGTGCGTTGCAATGGGAACTTTGTCATGTAGTTAGATTACTCATGTAGTGCTGGATATCTATTTAGTAATCACTTCATGTGTTTCAATTCATCTAAAATCAAACTCTATATTGTGCCTTGACACATGCTATATTTTTACTCATATGTGTAAGGAGGAAACTCTCAACAATCATGTTATCTGTTCCATTTCATTTTGGAATCGGGCTATGCACCATGCCTAAACACTTAACTTGTACGGACATAGGTAAATGTGGTGGACCATGGTAACACTTGTATTCCAATTTGTTTTGGAAATAGACTCTGCATCATGCTTAGACATCCTACTCTAACTTGTACACAAATGGAATAGATTGAGTCTGTTGGATCCCATCGGGCAATTGTGATTGATGAAAGATAAAGAAACCTTTTGGTCTTTAATATATGAAAGAAGGCCCATGCGTTGCTATGAAAGAATGCCTAAGAGTTTTGAAAAAAGATGTGTCATTTGTCCGGACAAGTTTTTAAATAAAACAAAAAATGAGAATTATTTTTGAATGATGGAAGCAATAATTAATACAGTTTCAAGGGCATCACTAGGAAGTTTTTGGTGCCATTATCCGATGACAGTGTGTAATACTCTGCGTCCAGAATTTGCCTATTTGACCCAGTTCCTTAAGTGCAACAGGCATGCATACACATAGCACCTCTCTTGCACTTCAGTCCTCAATTTGTGTAAAAGGATTAATCCAAAGATGCTATTTTTCAAATGACAAGCCCTCACCCTAATAAATATATAAGGTGGTAATAAACCCACCAATTGTAACTGCTCATGTGCCACATGGGCCAACAACAGGCATCTAACAGGCTGAGGTGTTACATTCATCCCATGAAGGGCTGATGTCCTCGGCAGCTCACCACACACAGCAGATGTCTAGACCCACCCCTTGGTACACCCCTCCCTGGTCACATGCCAAAAGAGTTGATGCTCTGAATACTACCTATAACACCATATGTCCTAAATCTGCTTACAGCCCAGATCCTTACGTGGAACGGGTCTGCATAACACATCTCTTGCACTTTCACTTTGTATAATAAAAAGATTAACCTAGAGGTGCTACAATTGGAATGAAAAGGATTATAAGCTAGCCCTCACGCGCCCTCACGCTCCTAAGCTTCCAAAGTGGTACTAAACGCACCAACTATAACTCCTCATTTGGCAAATGGGACGCATGGGCCAACAACACAACTACATGCTTCTAACGGGCTGGTGTGTTACACAATGTTCACCATGTTTCCAATGAGCCATTGTCAAAACTTTCAGACACTTTTGTGGGATTTAACTTGGAAATCATTCTCAAATATGTGTTGTTTAGGTTATCACTGTGGATGTTGTCTTTAGGATCTCTTAAGCTTTTATGTCTTGTTGCAAGGTGGCTCCTTCCATGTAATGGGGGTCATTCCCTAATATCTGCTATTTTTTTCTTAATAGGTGAATATACAACTAGAGTTTCAACTTAAGATATATCCATAGAAAATTACAATGACTAATAATAGGATAAAAGATGCAGTCCATGACATCGTAGCTCATCATGGACTATAACCATTGCGGACACACAGTTTTGTGATACAAAAAGGAAGAAATAGTGAATATTGATGAAAAACATATAGATTACTTGGTCAAATTATCACACTTCGGTAGAGGTAACAGAGTATGTATATGGTTATTATGTATAAAGAATAAAAGAGAGACAAAGGGCACAAAGACAAGCAATTTGATTAGATATAGGTATAAACATTTCCACATACTTCTAAGACTTATGTCTCGAAGGTTCAAACCTGTATAGGTGGACACGTAATGGATTAGTGTGGATAATTTAGATGCATATTCATGAGTCACTTTAGATTCAACAACAAAGCTCGATAATTTGGATGCGTATTTATGGCTTTACTAGGAGTTGTATATTGTAACTAGTTTGTAATACCGTATTTTCTAAACCTACTATGTCAAATTAGGCCCTGAATAGATAGAGTTAAGGGAATAATGTGCATTAAACTACAAAATAAATGGTATATGTGTTCACTAACTTGACCAGGTGTTGGCGGCAACTGTTTGTTGAGCAATGACCAAGCATCATCTTCATTGAGTGGGCTGACATGATGTTGGTAGAAGGAGGCTCCGGTCCGTAGAGCTAGGTCTTCTAATCTTGTAGTGATTAGCACCCAATTGCCCTGTTGATTTTTACTTGCATTTCTGATTGGAACACTAAGCACATTGCTCCATGCTACATTACTCCACACATCATCCAGGACCAGGAGAAACCTACCCATGGACAAGGTGTTGGTGAGCCTCCGTGAGAGGAGGGTCTTGTCTTGCACCCCACCATGGACTCCCCCAGCATGCTCAATTGCTGTCCTGAGAAGCTCAACCTCATCAAAGTGTTGGGTGATGCTTAGCCATATCTTCACTTTGAAGTGCTCTTGGACGGTGGTCTCATTGAAGATCTTCTGGGCCAAGGTGGTTTTGCCCATGCCACCTGTGCCCACAATGGCCACCACTTTGATGTCGTGGTGTCCATTGATGGTTAGCATTTGAGCAAGCTCCCTTGTCTCCCTCTCAATTTTCTCACCAACAATAGCTGACTCAACAAACTCAGATGTCACCTTCTCTCCAGTGGACATCCTCTGTTCTGGGTGGGATCCTAGATTGATGAAGTTGAACTTGTGAGACTCTTCATATATGTTGTCCAGCCTCTGGTTGAGCTCCTTGATGCGGCTGCCAATCTTGTGTGCGAACACAGGATTCCGTAGGCAGGAGAGCAATGCCCGGCAGCAACCTGGAGCCTTTTCAATCGTGCTGCTACCTTTTGACTCCCTCTGCTTGTCAGCTTCGATTTGACATAGGTCTAGGATGTCAGTGGCGTCATACATGGCGTTCTTGAGCTTCAGAACCCATCTTTGCACCCTCAATTCAGTGATGCGCTTCCTCTCAACGTCAGCAAGGAAGCATTTGATACTTTCCATGTTGTTCTCTAGCTTCTCAATATCGCCAGATATGCCCAGCAACATCTTCACCTCTTCTGTTGCCATGTCAGCTATCAGCTGCATCACGTAGGGTCCCATAGCATCCAAGATTGCGGCCATGGCTCCCCCAGACGTCCGTCCTATACATATACAAGTACATCAGAATCTTACACTTGTTTCATCAGAACAACCACTGGATCATTTATTCTTTTGTGCCACTTGTACTAAATCACCTTATACTAGACCCTCATATAGTTTGGATCATGATAATTCTTTTTTCAATCTAGATCTATTGTTTTAAAGTGAATTAGGATTTGCCAAGGGATACTAGACATTTAGTATGCCTACTTACACCAAAAGGGCGAGCAGCTGGGAGTTCAAAGATCAAGACGTTAGTATGCTTATACTTACACCAAAAGGCGAGCAGCGGGGAGTTTAAAACTAACGCTGGAAAAGAACCAGCCTCGCTCAAGCTACCTATTTCGCTCATTCTTTTTTCCTTTTCTTAGAAGGATAGAACTTTCAGTTAACATGTAGATTCGCTACAGATACATTTTACAGGCATGATCCTGCATTAAAGTGAATAGAACATGCATGCATGTATAGCTAGCTAGAGAAACAAACTTCTCCAAGAGGATCTCTACACACCGCTTTATCATAAAATTTAGAAAACAAAACAAAAAGCCAGACTCCTGTAGACTCTCTAAAGCACTCTCCATCTCCTTTGCAATCTAAAACCACCCTTCTCACTCTCCATCAATAGAGAGGCTACGCTTTTGATGAAAATGGCGAGGCTACACTGCTCTCTAAATTCAAGATATGGTAGTTCTCTCATGAAATTTTCACACAAGAGAAATGGTGATAAGGTATTACAGTATACAGAACAAAACCTAGAGATATATGTGGGAAATATTTATGGCATGGTTCTCTAAATACAGATATAGGTGAAGTTTAGAGAATATAATGGAAAAGGATGGTCGAACAATGCAAGCAAGCAAGTAAGAAGACATTACAGAAATGAACTTTAAAGTATTCACTGCATATATAGTTTCGGGATAGAGGATGGAGGCACCTCAATTTGCAGGTACTTCTTGCGTCTCAGTTGGGCTAACTGCTCTTGAGGGTGTAAGGCAAATGGTAAGGCATCAGGCATGAGCCTTAGCTTATATATATAAGATGGACCAGCTGGAAAATGGAAAAAAAGGCGACGATCCAATCCTTGCTACACACTACAAGAATCGAGTACCAAACTTAGAATGGAACCTGCATGCTGCTGTTATATATATTGCACGCACGTTATGCCTTGCTTGATGATTGATAAATGCAGGTACTGTTAATTAACTATAATAATAGCTTAATTTGTGCTTGCTTGATAGTTTGTTCTTTTCCTTGCTTCTGGAACTGATACTGGGCTTTGGATCTAGGTAGATGGAGAGCTTGGGTTTCCACGCTGCTGACAACTGCCACCACAGCCGCTTTTGTTAAAGGCAATACATCTGCCACCACAGCCGCTATGTTAATAGAAGAAAGGAGACGAAGATACAATGCTTGTTACACACTCTTAAGAACCAAACTTTAGGGTTGTTCTGTCTCACTTACAATTCCTTCCTTCTGGAATCCCGCGGCAGGGTGTTTTTGTACACAGACAGCATGCATGCCATCAGCAGGTCAGAGTTGCGCACATGGCAAGTTATGCCTTACTTTAGAGTTGCGTACATCGCTTCCACTTCCCTCCCCTGCTTCAGCGTCAGATGCTCTCATGTTATTTTTCTCGTCTCCTTCCTGCTCTCATGTTATCTTCGTCTGGGTATATATAATAATAATAATTTCCGTACCTTCACCTATCTCAGTCACACCCTTGCATACATGGCATTTGGGTTGTGATCTGCTCCGATCCGTTATGTTTTCCTTCCTTACAAAGCAGAGCATCTGTGTATGTATATATGATATATAATAGTACAACTTATGCCTTACTTGATGACTGATAATTTGTGGTAATCTGTGGTAACTGCATCTACATCTATGCTTTCTCAATCGCACCCAAGCATGCTTACATGGCGTCGCAAGGAGGCTGGTGCCGGCCGGCCATTTGGGTTGTGATCTGCTCTGACGCGTTATGTTTTCCTTCCTTGCAAAGCAGAGCTTCTGTGTATATAATAGTACTCGTGCAAAGTAGAGGACGACCATGCTTTGACTGTGTTTGTTCATTCTACGCATGTCTGCTTGCGGTGGGGTTTATTACTCAACGTTTCATTCATCAACACACCTCATTCAAGAACCTTTTTTCCCGCCTGGCCTACTTCAGTCGCAGGCCACCAAGGATGATGGGAGTAATTGCTGGTCAAAATGTTATGCGCACCTGGCCATCATCTGTGAGCCCACAGCTCCTGCTATTGCTTATGGCCTTGGCATTAATGTTCTTATATTTGACCTTCCATTGCAGGCAAGACTTTTGATGTCTCTCATCTCACAAAAAAAAAGGCTGGGATGGCCCCCATGGAGTAACATTGGGCACCCAGAATAAGTTTGGTACGTGTCCATCTAACAAATGAAACCATTGCTTAAATTTAGAAGGAATAATTCGAAAGAAAAACTACATCTCTCTAATACGTTGGATGCATGCACATAGACACATGTCGCAAATCCATGATGGGGGCCTATGGTTGCATCATGGGGACGGTCCCCACCCATTTTTTTTCTTCCCATTGAGGAGGGTACCTTTGAGGTCAAGGCCACAGCTGGTGACACTCATCTTGGTGGTGAGGATTTTCACAACCGCGGATGTAGGGGCCGAGCTGGAGCAAATTTAAGGCGGGGTGTGCTTGCCTTGTGGGTGCTTAGTTTTTTGCCATATGGATATGATGTGTATAATATACTTGTTCTCAGTCAATAGTCTACATTAATTAACAAGGGAGGGATGGGAACATACAGGTTCTATAGTAAAACCTGTCAGTAAGTTGAAAGCATGCACACAACACTAGTACGTACTGTACGTGTGCAAGTCCGCCGTGTCCCTATGTCGAGGCCGGCACCCTTTCCTTTCCAGCACACACCTCGGCCACGCTGGCTTCTAGGCTTCTCATGATTTGGCACTAGGTGGTCCATCGTGTCTTTGCAACTGTCCTCTATGTGACAGTGTAGAAAACTAAAATTCAATCTGCCAGCAAGAGATAGAGATGATGATCCCTGCCCCCGCGCGCTCCAATGGCAAAAAGGAATGTATAGGATCCCATCCCTGCATAAATAAAGTTGGTTGCATCAAATATACATACTAAGACGAGCAATGTGTTGAGACTGAAGGGATTTGCTAAAATTAGTTTCTCTTCGGGCGACGGTTATTGCATATATTTATATTAAAATTGCAGATTCCGTTCACTGCAATTTCTGTAGGCGCAATCCGCGATTTTTTGGTACTGAGAATAAAAAACCATTAGACAAAACTACAAATCCGGAAAAATCTGATTTGTGTTGGCACAAAGATAATTAACAATTTACAATTAATTCTATAGGAAGACAAGAACAAAAATTTAATGTGTTATGACATAAAGACAAATAACAGAAGTAACAATTTATTACTTGTACTACTTGATAGTACAAGAGTATTGCCTGAAATCAACTTAAAATTTAGGCACCTGAAATATAGTAGAAGTGAGAAAATTATTAACTACCTGGCCCTGGCTAAATATACACTTGCTTTATTTCTGATCTGGCGGCACAACAATTAGTCTTCATCTTCAGGAAAGTAGTCGACTGACTTGATATTGCTGATCTTGTCGTTCTCAGATGAGCTGCCTCTTAACAAGAACAATTATCAACCCGAGATACCTCGGGCTTACTGATGTTCGGTATTCCGAAAGTGTCTCCATGGTGGCATAAATAGTCTCATCTCATCCAATCTAGTGATGGGACTCCTTTTAGCACTTGCTCATTTGGGCAACCGATGATCCTGATTTTCTGTAACCAAGAGAGGTTGTTGATCCTCTTGAGCATGGGACAATCGATTGCATATGTCGAGTGCAAGTACACCTTGAAGCACCTGCAGATTTAGACAGCGGAGGATACTAGTCTTGTGCGATCTGCTGAGGCCAGTGGCCCTCTTGGGCTTGGGGCAGAGGGACACGTCAAGCTCGACAACTGAAGGGAAGTTCTGCACATATACATCAGGTTGGTAAGGCCCTCGTACAGGTTGAGAGCCCAAGCGACAGAGGTGTTCTGGTGCAAGGCCCAAAAACCAACCGACGACAGGGTGGCTGTGCTCTGTTATACTTGGTCCTTACTCTGTTGACTGACATATGGTATATATAGGATGAACTGCATGCTGTCCCGTGCTTCCAAAGAATTATGAATGAACCATTATATTCCTCAGTCACAGCTCAAAGTGAAGGCTCGTCTGTCTCCCTCAGAAAGCAGAGGGCCTTCATATATTGGTGCAGTACAGGAGACAGAAGCAGAGGACACATATGGTGTTGCCACGAGAACAGAGGAGAGGAAAACTCCATAATCGCCACGACAGCGAGGAGGCTGAGCAATATCGACCAACAATAATGATTGGGATGCCTGATTTCATGATCCGGAGCATCGTTGATGATCAACAATTCCAAACTTGGGAGGCAGCAAAGACCGTCAGGGAGCTGGGTGCAACGAGGTAGGTTTTCCAGCAACAAATACCTCAGGATCTTAAAGGCCACCGATGCTGGAGCACACATCCAGTTTGGTAGCAGCCGACCAAGGTATCCACCTATCACACGTAGATTCTCTAGGCATGTTGGAGGGCAGAGCTTTTCCCACACCTCCTCGATTACACCTTGTTGCTGCTGCTCAGCCTCAGCAGCGCCTGTCCCTATAGTATGTCCACTTGCACTAAAGTTCAACTCTAGGTACCAAAGGTGGCGTTTGATATATCATAGCTTTTTCAGCCATCTGCCTGTCCTGCACCTCTTTAGGCCATTTAGTGTTAAGCTTTCTAAGCTGAGAAAGAGGCGCCACCAGTTCTTGCAAACTGCACCAGCTATTGCTTGCATCCATGTCCACGTGTGCTGGAAAGTCATAAAGTGACCTCAGATTTGTCAGCCCACTAAACCCCTTGGGCACAACACTCACATTTGATCCTTGAAGGACAAGAGATCGTAGATGCACAAGGTTTTAAGATGCTGCAAAGAAGATTGTATAGCTTGTCACAGTTACCAAGTGCAATGTACAGTAGAAATTTCATCTTATGAATGTATGGGGGTATGACCCCCGGTACCCACGAGACAAGACATGGGCCGCACCACCAGAGGTGGCCCAGCCCACAAGACTGTGCCTGGGTCACGCCACTAGTGGAGGCCCAACCCACAAGACCATGTTGTACAAGGCACGATACCGGTTAGCGTGTCTCGCAAGACTGCATGAAGATCTCCGGCGATCTAGGAGACCTGCTCGGATACACCAGATCCCGTGATATATGTAAGTTCCTATCTTGTAAAACCGATCAGGATAGAAATAACTGATCTGTAACCTTACCCCCCGAGCTATATAAGGCGTGTAAGGACCCCCCTCGTTTTGATCAAATCATACGCAATACAATCCACAAAGACACAGGACGTAGGGTATTACACCAAGTCGGCGGCCTGAACCTATCTAATCACTGTCTCTTGCGTTCTGTGTCACTGTCCGGTTCCCTCACGCGCACCTCCACCGATTCATCTACTACTATGGACATACCCCTCGGTAGACTGCCGACCGTATTTCGTAGACAGTGGCGCGCTAGGTAGGGGGTGTCGTGCTAAATCCATGGCGAACCAAATGGTCACCTTCCTGAGCTCCATGGCCTTTCTCGAGCCAGGCTAGATCTTCAGGGTTGGATCCATGACCTGGGTCATCAGCCCCGACGACAACAGGGAGATCGTGGAGGCGGTGCAGGATCACCCTGCACCGATCGCGCCAACACCTGCAACGACATCTCCGATCTCGGCGCCCCGCCGCAGGGTTAGGAGATCCATCAGCAATGATGATCTGATCGCATCTATCGATCGGGACACAGACCACTTAACGGAATGTCAGCTCCTCGTGGATTCGGTCTTAGATCAATCCAGAGCGAGCGACGAATTTCTTGTTCTCCAAGATCACCAAGCCGCTGTAACCGCCTGACCTGCTCGGCCACACCATTCAAGGTAGCCAAATTCCGATCTGGTGATCATGGCCACTCCAGAGGGGTGCACAGTGTGGCTCCGACCACTCCCTGCTACCGGCCAACGTTTGGCCGACTACGAGGCCCCGATGGAGGATCCGCCGATGCCCTATCTTTTTGGGCTGGAGGGTGCGGGATCTGTATGCCAGAACGCTATCCACCACCTCTTTGTCGACCACGTCGAGCTCGACCACGTCACCGACCTCTACATGATCAACCCGACTGACTCCAGTCAGCCGGCGCCCATGGTCAACATGGTCGCTGTCCGCCAGCTTTCGGATGAACCCTCTCTCCTAATCGAATCTCTCCACAACGTTCTAGACGAGAGCCCCGACGACTATTTCGAGGGCTCAACCCAGACTATGCCAAGCTGCCCTACTTTCCCTCGAGGGTTCGGGGGCGTGATTTTCCACGTCAGCCACGACAGCATCACCAAGGACACCGAAACCGCCGAAGAGCACGCGGCTCGTCTGGCGATGAATGCCGACCGCCAATGTCGCCAAGATGCAGAAGCAGCCCAAGAGGCCCACGAGGATGGTCGCGGTCCGCCCCGCCATCAACGCAATTTGGAGGAGGCATTCGACATGGTGGGCGACTAGCCAGTTTACCAAACTCCGAGCGCTAATCTAGCCATCGTGTTCAATGAGCTCGACAAACTCCCTCACACTCCAGAGGTCGAGCAGGTTCGAGCACATATCATAGCAGCGCAGGTCCAAGTCAACGAGTTCTGGAATGACGCCCTGTCTTATTCAACCGCATCAGCTCGTAGCAATCGCTCCCATCGCGACGGAGGAGGCTAGCATCACAGCGTCGAGGCCCCCGACCTCATGCTAGGGGTCCCTATCTCCATAGAGGATCCAGAGGCAACTATGAAGCTCATTCACGCCACGACGGCCGCCCACCCCGCCCCCAAGGAGGTCAGGGCGGCAATCACAACCAGGAGGTCAATCAACCCCTTTCTTGCGACCTTCCTGATCACATCAACTCTGGCACAGATGTTCGCGTCCACATCGAAAATAGTAGGGCCGCACGCTACGACGCGGAGATGGAGCGTCGTCGGCAATTTGACACCGGACATGAGGGATTCGTTGCCCGTCAAGCCCCACTTCCCACTAGCGCTTCAGGACTTCACCCCTTCACGGAAAGGCTCTGAGTTGTCCGGTGGCCTATGTGTTTCAAGGTCCTTGGTGTTAATACCTATGACTGAAAGGCCAACCCCACTCAGTGGCTAACTCCATATCAGATCACCGTGAGAGCTATAGGCAGAGACGAGGACATCATGGTGAACTATATACCCGTCATGCTTAGCCTATCTGCGAATAACTGGCTCCTCAGCCTATAAGAGAACTCCATCCAATCTTGGGACGACCTCAAGAAAGCCTTCACTGACAACTACATGGCTACGTGCGAACAGCCCGGCACCAAGTTTGACCTAGAGAAGCTTCATTAGTTCTCCGGGGAGTCCCTGCACGACTTCATCAGGCCCTTCTTGGAGACAAGAAACTCCGTTCCTAACATCACGGATGTCAAGGCCATCGCTACCTTCACAAAAGGGCTCCGGCATGAGCAACTTCATGGCAAGCTATATCGCAAGAGGCCGACAACCATCCGTGAACTGATACAAATGGCAAACGGATATGCTGACGCAGAAGAAGACGAACAGGCTGCCCGCTCTGCTCACCATCAACGCCGTGACGATGACCATCGTGATGACAGGCGCTACGACAACCGCGATCGCCGCCATGATGACCAAGATCACCGTGACGACAGCGACCGCCGTCATGATGACTGCGACCCCAGCGCGGCGACCGCACGGATAGCTTGAGAAGCAGACAAGGCCACCGTCGCCGGCCTGATAACTCCATCAACACCGTCAACACCTGTGCCAAGCGCACCTATGATGCTGATTTCGGCAAACTGCAAGACGGCCCATGCCCTATCCACAAGGATGGAAAGCACACCACGCAGGAATACAGAGGCCTAAAGACAGAGATCGGTGGTGAATCATCAAAAAGGCCACGCCATGACAACGATGAGACCGAAGACGGTTAAGGCGAAGAATGAGGCAAGAACAAGGGCCCAACCTATCAAGACCCCACCAAGACCGTCGCCACCATCTTTGGTGGGAGAGCTGTCTCTAAAGACAAGCGCAAGCAAAAGCTTGTAGCCCGAAGTGTCATGTCGGTCGCTACATATGACGACCCTGTCGCCGACACCAATTACCTCGACTGGTCGGAGCACCCGATCACCTTCACCTGGGCTGACCAGTGGTCGGACATCCCATACCTAGGGCGTTTCCCACTTGTCCTAGACCCTATTATCAAAGACGTACGCTTTCAAAAGGTCCACATCGACGGAGGGAGCACCCTCAACATCATGTTCGCTAGATCACTAGAGGAGCTAGGGATCAAGAAAGAAGACCTTACCCCTATGGACTCTCTATTCTAGGGGATCGTTCCCGTCAAAGCATCCTTGCCTCTAGGATAGATTACACTATCGGTACAATTCAACACCGCCAAGCACTTCCGCGTCGACTATGTTAACTTTCTGGTTGTTGATTTCAATACGGCGTACCATGCCATCCTTAGACGACTAGGCCTCGCCAAGTTTATGGCAGTGCCGCACTACACATATCTGGTGTTGAAGATGCCAACGAAGAAGGGGGTCCTCTCCCTGCGGGCCCACCTCAACGTCGCCTACTCTTGTGAGAAGGAAAGGTTTGGGCTCGCCGAGACTACTGACATCTCCATCCACATGTAAGACTGCCTCGCGTCTTCGCAACATATTTCCTCACAGGACCTGAAGATCCCAACCATGGAGGCCGCCCGAGCCTCAACCAAGTCCAAGGAGGTGAAGGAAGTGGTCCTCGTCGCCAGCGACCAGTCCAAGACTGCTCGGATCGGGGCCGACCTCGACCCCAAATAGGAAGACGCGCTCGTCAGCTTCCTAAGGGAGCACGTTGATGTGTTCACATGGAAACCGGTGGACATGCCCGGTGTGCCTTGGGAGCTGATCGAGCACTCCTTAAATGTCTCGGCGACCGCCAAGCTGATCAAGCAGAAGCTTTGATGATTCACGCAGGACAAAAAGGAGGCCATTAGGGTAGAAATAACCCGGCTCTTAGCTGCATGTTTTATCAAAGAGGTGTATCATCTGGAGTGGTTAGCCAATCCGATTCTTGTAAGAAAAAAGAATAAAGAATAGAGAATGTGCGTTGATTACGCTGATCTCAACAAACACTACTCTAAAGACCCCTTCAGCTTACCTCGCATTGATGAGGTCGTAGATTCTACAGCCGGTTGTGAGCTCCTATGCTTTTTAAACTGCTACTCCAGTTATCACCAGATCGCGCTGAAGGAATAAGACCAGATCAAGACATCATTCATTACGCCCTTCGGCGCCTACTGCTACACGACCATGTCCTTCAGGCACAAGAACGCAGGTGCAACTTATTAAAGAGCCATCTAGCGCTACCTCAAGGACCAGATCGGGAAGAACGTCGAGGCCTACGTTGATGACGTGGTGGTTAAGACTAAGATCGTTGGCACTCTCATCGCTGACCTCCCTGAAGTTTTCAAAGCCCTGAAGGTGTACCGATGGAAGTTGAACCCCACTAAGTGCATTTTCAGCGTTCCATCTGGTATCCTGCTAGGCAACATCACCAGTCACCGCGTCATCAAAGCCAACCCAGAGAAGATAGCAGTGGTGACTAATATGAAGCCATCGACCTGTATCAAGGACGTCCAGAAGCTGATGGGGTGCATGGCAGCCTTAAGTTGTTTCATATCTCATCTAGGCAAAAAGGGCTCCCCTTCTTCAAGCTACTTAAGGCTCAATAGAAATTTGTCTTGTCGGAGGACGCTGACAAGGCATTCATTGAGCTCAAGCGGTTCCTCACCACACCTCTAATCATGACCACCCCCCAAAAGGACGAAACCCTGCTAATCTACATCGCAGCAATCAACTGGGTAGTCAGCACCG